ACCTTGGTCGGCACCTCCTGGGAGGCCCCTGAGCCAGTGCACCTGATGGACAGCTTCAGACCACACCAAATTAAAACCTAACCACTTCCATGAGATATACACTAAAGGGGCAGATTCACTGGGCACAAAAGATCTACTGAAGTGAGTCCTGCTCCATGGGGTTGGCCCCTGCATGGCAGCTCCTCCCCTGTAGTTCCAGTGGATCCTTGTAGCCAATAGGCCTAGGGGGTGGGTCAATCCCTTCCAGTGATGCCAGCAGCAATCCATGCCCAACTACAACAGTAGGATGCACACAGCCCACACAAGGAGCAGACCTGGAGTTGCTGGTGCAGGTGACTGGGGAGGCTGTGCCACTGGGCCCTACAGGACATCTACTATATAAGGCCACTCTACCAGGACTTGGAGAAGTAGCAGCTCCACCCAATAAAGTGAAACACACACAGGGAGGCTGCCAAAATGAGACAAAGAGACAAGTGGAGGCAAGCAAACCTCCAGATACAGAGTTCAAAACACTGGTTATAAGGATGCTGAAGGAATTCAGTGAGAACTTCAACAGCATAACAAAGGACACGAAAACCATAAAAAAGAACCAGTCAGGAATAAAGGATACACTAACTGAAATGAAAAATACATGATAGGGAACTAACAGTAGAGTAGATGAAGCAGAAAATCAGATCGATAGCTTGGAAGGTGAAGAAGCAGAAAGTACCCAGTCACGATAGCAAAAAGAAAAAGAATCCAAAAAAATGAAGGTAGTGTAAGGAGCCTCTGGGACAACTCCAAGAGTACCAGCATTTGCATCATGGGGGTGCCAGAAGGAGAAGTGAGAGAAGAAGAAAAAATCGAAAACCTATTTGAAAAAATTCTCTAACCTGGTGAAGGAAACAGACATTAAGTCTTGGAAGCACAGAGTGTTCCAAACAAAATGAACCCAAAGAAGCCCACACCAAGACACATCATAATGAAAATGCTAAGAGTTAAAGACAAAGAGAGAATCTTAAAAACAGCAAGAGAAAAGTCGTTAGTTACCTACAAGGAAGCTCCCAAAGGCTTCTAGCTGATTTATCAATAGAAACTTTCCAGGCCAGAGGGATTGGCACGAAATATTCAAAGTGATGAAAAGCAAGGACCTACAACCAAGATTACTGTACACAGCAAGGCTATCATTTAGAATCAAAGGGCAGAAAAAAAAGCAAAAGCAAAAGGAATTCATCACCAGTATGACAAGAAATGTTAAAGAGTCTTCTTTAAGAAAATGAAGAAGAAAATATGAATAAAATAGCAATAAATACATGTCTATCAATAATTATATGCAAATGGATTAAATGATCCAAATAAAAAGACAGATGGTGACTGAATAGCAAAACAAGACCCTTACACATGCTGTCTACAAAAGACTCACTTCAGATTTAAAGATACACACAGACTGAAAGTAAAAGGATAGAAAAGGATAGGTCATGAAAATGTAAACAAAACAAAAAAAAGCTGGGGTAGCAATACTTATACCAGACAAAATAGAATTAAAACAAAGTCTATAACAAGAGATTCTGGGTATTTAACGGGCAGAGGATCTGAATAGACATTTTCCCAGACATACGGAGAGCCAACAGACACATGAAAAAGTGCTCAACATTACTAATCACCAGGGAAATGCACACACACACACACACACATACACATCCATATGTTCATTGCAGTATTATTTACAATAGTTAAGATATGGAAGCAACACAGGTGTCCATCAATAGATATTGGATAAAAAAACACTGCATATATGCAATGGAGTATGACTCAGTCATGAAAAAGAATAAAATCTTGCCATCTGCAACAACATGGGTGGGCCTAGAGGGTATTGTGCTGAGTGAAATAAGTCACATAGAGATAGACATGTTCAATTTGTCTGGTGTAGCAATGACATTGTGTTTTGTCTGTTGAAATCAAACAAGCAGAACAGAAACAGACTCATAGATACAAAAAACATTTTGACAGTTACCAGGTAGGATGGGGTTGAGGGACTGGGTGATAAAGAAGAAGGGATTAAGAAGTATATATTGGTTGTTACAGAATAGTCATGGGGATGTAAAGTACAGCATAGGGAATATCCTATATAATAAAGAGCTAATATGCTAATTAGACCGAACAGCAGAACACAGTCCAGATGACCTTCCGGATGAAGCCGGGGCTGCAGGGCTGTGAGGGCTGAGTCCCTTGCATGAATTTCATGCATCGGGCCTCTAGTAGTTAATAATATTATAACAATTACATATGGTGTCAGATGCATACTAGATTTATCCATGTGATCACTCCATAAGTTTTATAGATGTCTAATCGCTGAGTTGTACACCTGAAACTAATGTAATATTGTATAACAACTATAATGAAAATAAAGAAAAAATATTATTTATGACCTTGCCTTTGTCAAGAGCAACTGGCATTGCTCTCAATTGAAATTGAAAATGTTAACTGAAGTAGAAATTTTGATGATCTGATAAATGAATTTGCAGAAAAGCAAGTCAGAAAATCTTATGATCAATTGAGATATCACATATTAATAAAGTATCATGTTGGAAGCTACCCATTGTCTTCACTATCAGAAAAGTGTAAACAAGGAACCTGGAATGCTGGTGGACCTTGAGCTCTGGCAAAGGCTGAAGCTATGCACCGATTGTTTAGTTGAGACAATGGTGGCTTAAGCAATTTCCTGAGCAAATAGTCTCAAAGTAAACCTTTACTAATATTTACTGGCCTTTAAGAGAGTCTGTCTGGGAAAAAAAGGAGACATATGTAATACTTTAAGCAATAAAACAATTTAAAAAAAAAAGAGTCTGTCTGCTACCGGAATTGCCTGCCTAAGGGCAATATGTGTATCTAAAATTGAATAAAAGGTGGCAGAGCCTGGGCACCAGTGAAGCCTTTCTTCTTGAGAAAGACTCTCTGCCTGGCCCCCTGTATCCAAATTCATATTTCTTGTCTAATCTCGTCATTTGCACGCGGCCCTTCTCAAGATCCTGAACCCAAGCCACGTGAGATGTGGCTTTTCACAGTATCACATATTGTATTATATAAATTATGACACCAAAATACTTTTGCAATTTATAACTTTATAGTGTTACTCAGTTATCACTATAACCCCATTATATTCTTAAGGAAAAGCTTTATATTTCAGTTCCTTTTTAAAAGAAGTTTTTATTGACTTTTAGAAAGAGAAGAAGGGCAAGTTAGAGAGAGAGAAACATAGATCAGCTGACTCTTGCACGGGATTGAGCCTGGAACCCGGGCATGTGCCCTGACTAGGAATTCAACTGTTGACCCTTCAGTACATGGGACGATGCTCAACCAACTGAGCCACACCGGCCAGGGTTGTATTTCAGTTTCTTTAATGGCACCTTTTCCTGCTTTTTGAAAAGGAGTTCCACATTTTCATTTTGATTGGGACACACAGATTAAGTATCTGGCCCTGATTCCAGCTTTACCACTGAAAGCCTGGCCATTTAAGTATCTGGCCCTGATTCCAGCTTTACCACTGAAAGCCTGGCCATTTTTGATTGAGTCATTTAATCTTTGTAGCTCAGTTTTCTCACCTCTCAAATGGGAATGACATTTATATATACATATATGTATATGTGTATGTATATGTATATGTATATGTATGTGTATATATGTAGTATATATGTAGTGGTTTGAAAAAGTATAGGTGCTTTCAAATATTAGTGGTACTGTTCATATGAGATATTTTTTAACCATTACCCTTCCTTGATTCAAAGTCTTTAAACAAATACACTTCTTATCTAAAATGAAGACATTTAATTCCTTTTCTATGAGGCTTTCTAGACTTTTGAGAGAAGTTACACTTGGTCAAAAAGTGTATCATTTTTATAGACTAGTGATTTCAGGATGGAATTCATTTCTTCTCTGACTAAAAGCAAAGTACAAACTAAAAGTGATGCCCAAACACTAGACTTCAGCCAACACTCATGAAGCCTCAAATTTCAAATAGTGTTTCTGATAAACACTCTGACTTTTAAAAAATATATATATTTTTATTGATTTCAGAGAGGAAGGGAGAGGGGAGAGAGAGAGAGAAACATCAATGATGAGAGGGAATCATTGATTGGCTGCCTCCTGCAGGACCCCCACTGGGGATCGAGCCCACAACCTGGGCATGTGCCCTTGACCGGAATCAAACCTGGGACCCTTCAGTCCGCAGGCCAATGCTCTATCCACTGGGCCAAACTAGCTGGGGCAACCCTCTGACTTTTAAGCAACTCAACATAAAACCAACACTAGGAGAGCTGAGTTCCCCCAGGACCATCCCTGGGCAATCCCAGATATCCCACACTGCTGAGTGTAAGCAAAAACACGGCTGTAAAGACAGGGCACAAACGCCACGCACTAGGCTGCCTACCAGGAGCTCTGCCAGATTAGAGCACAGAGTCTGAGCGCCAAGCAGGGAGCAAGCAGAAGCCGGGGTCCCAAGCCCGAATGCCCCTCTGCACACCGTCTCTGACAACACACATCCGGACACTGGGACAGGTGACATTGTTAACCCACTGCCATGGGGGTTTCTCTGAATCCTTTATACAAACTCCCGAGTCTCCCCAGAGACCATGTGTACGTGACTGGCATAGGGGTGAGGCTAGGACTTTAGGACAAGCTCTTATGTCAAGAGCCTGACTGAAGGGCCAAGCTTGTAACTGATCAATAGGTTAACAAGCCGGTTGGGGGTAGGATTCCAATTGCTCCACTGCTCAGGCCTCCCAGAAGTTGGCCAACATCTCCCACCTCCAGGGCTGTGAATCCACTTTGCAGTGCTCTCTCTCACTGGCCATCCCTCCCACTGCCTAACCTTTGCCCTTTCTAATTGCTCTGATCTCATCCCAACCTCCACAGCTGTGTTTAAAGTCCACCTCTGGGGAGCAGAGATTGAGTGTTCCCGATAATCCCTTTCCCAGTCCTGCCTGACAGCAGGCCTAGGGGCTGCGTACCTGGGCTTCCTGGGACTGTGGCTGGGGTTCGAGGAGAGACCTCGGCGCCTACCTGGCTGCAGGATGAAGCTGGCCACCAGCTCCTTGATTCTGTGGCTGAGCCTGGGGGGTGGCCTGGCACAGAGCGACACCAGCCCTGACGCAGAGGAGTCCTATTCCAACTGGGGCCTCCGGCACATCCGGGGCAGCTTTGAGTCTGTCAACAGCTACTTCGATTCCTTTCTGGAGCTGCTGGGAGGGAAGAACGGGGTATGTCAGTACCGGTGCCGATACGGTGAGTGCACTGTTTCTCCTCCTGTAGCCTCTCGCCGGTGGACTTGTGAGCAGCTGCGCAGGGTCACAGCCGGTCGTGAACTTTTTTGCTGTCATCCTCCTCTTGGGTAGGATTGCCAGAGTTAAGGTGAAAATATAAGACACCCAGTGACATCTGAATCTCAAATAAACAACAGATAATGTGTTGGTACATTTGAAATACTTGGGGCCACTTATACTGACAAACTATTGGTTGTTTATCTGAAAATCAAATACCACTAGACTGCCTATATTTAATCTGGCGCACCAGCTTCCAGAAGCTCCGAGACCTGTTCGCTGGGGCCATTTTAATGGGTTTGCTGTGAGGTGGTACAGTGGGGCCTTGACTTACGAGTGTCCCGACTAACGAGTTTTTGCGAGTTACGAGCCGTCTCTCGGCCGATTTTTTGCTTTGAGTTGACAGAGTAATTTGAGTTAACGAGCTCCTTAACAAGCTCCGTCACGGAAGGAATTAAACTTGTAAGTCAAGGCCCCACTGTACTTCAGGGAGAGGCCACATGGGCGGGAGGAAGAACAGGAGAGCTGTTTGAGAATTCCTAGGATGAAAATGAAGCTGAACTTTCAGAGGGAATTTTGCGGGCGAAGAGGGGTTGTGGAAACAGCTCCCTGAGTCACTCTGTGCTAAGTTCCCCGGGTGCTGCTCACACCTTCCTCCCAGCTTTGTCTTCTCTGCTGGGCTCGCCTTGCTGACTCCCGGGGCAGCGCTGGGAAAGCGCACTGCCAGCTGCCGCTGCCCACCTGGGATGGGGCCTGGTGCCAGGTGCAGGGCTGGGAACGGGGAGGAGCCTCAGGTCCGCAGAGGAGACCGTGGGGCCAGCTCTACCTCAGGCCCTGGAAGCCCAGGCCATGGGGGCAGAATGCGGGCCCTGGACCTCGCAGCTGGGAGGCAGGGGTAATTCAAACGCAAACATTTCCGAAAGTATACACAGCCTCATACAGCACCGGTCCTGGGGTTTCATTTACCACAGGTTTCATCGGGGGGTTAGAGATGAAAATGGAGAGCCAGTGCAGCCACAGGAAAGCACTTGAGACATGTTTTCTCCAAACCGTCCACAGATAGGGCTCAGCTTTGAGAGAGACTCCCCCGGGCTCCCTCTCTCCCTTTTTACCTTCAGGCGGGAGTGGGGGGGGGCTGCTTCCTTACTAGACGCGGCGACTAGGAGGCAATGGGAAACCGTTGCGCCAGAACCAGAAGTTTTGCGACACAGAATTTTAGGCACAGACGGATACGGTGAAAAAGGAAGCTGCGTTTTGTCTGTGAAGATGCCTCGGGGTGAAAAGCCTGGTCTAGGCCAGGACCACCTGAACCCCGGGCCTTGGCTTTGTGCGAGGCGGGAGGACAGAAGCAGAGGCGCCCTGGCCCCTTCTCACCTAGTGGGCACCAAGGGGGCCGGAAAGGGGCTCACTCCCTGCAGATACCAACACAGGTCCCTTCCTAGAGGCAGCGCGCGATGTAGGTCCGCGGCTCAGCAGGTGGATGAGAACAGGAGTCTCTTAGGAAAACAAGGGTCAAACCCTCTCTCCCTTCTCCAGCAACACAGTGTCAGAAGATTTCAGCAACGTTTGGTTGCAAGCCTCTAGCTGGGCAAGTCAGTGTCGGCAGCTCTCAGTGGGGGATGGGAACAGTCAACAGCGAGAGGGCAGGAAGGCAAACAACTCCACTCAGTCTGCAAACAGAGGGGCCTGGAAACGCGGGGAACAGGGGGTTAAGCCTTGTTACCTTTGGAACCCAGCGGAGAGGAGCACCTGGATGCGGGGCCCAACCCTAGGAATATCTTCTCGAGCTGATAGTGAATCACGCTCCTCCGAACGGGGTGTGCGCTTTCAGTTTGCTTTAGGATACACCTTCTGGCAGCGTGTTTCCCTCCCTCTTTAAAGCGGTGGTTCTCAAACTCACCTGACGGCTGGGCCCCCACCCCTCCTGCTTCTGATTTGTTGCTTTGGCGTGGCCGGGAAATTTGCATGTCTAAGGGTTCCCAGGTGATCCCACTGCTGCTGGTCCAGGGACCACGCTTCAAGAGAAAAAACTGCCTTAAAGGCTGCAAGCTTTGGCCAGAAACAACAATTTAGTAAGAATTAATCTACAAGAAAATTTTTTCTGTTTTATAAGTACTTACCACAATCAGGCATACCTCGGAGATATTGCAGGTTCCTTTCCACACCACAGCAATAAAGCAAGTTTCGCAATAAAACCAGCTGTAATCTTTTTGCTGGTGGCAGGTCTTGCGTTCAATTTGTAAAAAGCACGTGTGTGAAGCACAATAAAGCCACGTGCAATGAAACGAGGTGTGCCTGTACTTAAAACAAGGTTCCCTACCTCAGCCGGCACTTAGAATCACCTGGGGGCTTTAAACACTCCTGCCACCCAAACCAGTGAAATCCGACTCTCCATGGATTAGACCCAGACGTATTTTTTAACACTTCCCAGGTGATTACAAAGTGCAGCCAAGGGTTGGAGCACAAGGTTGGGAGGTCATTCTTGGAGAACTTCAGCCCGTAGGTTGTTCAGACAGGTAAAGGTGTGTTTGTAACCTGGTAGCCTACAATCATGTGTCAACATTGCTCTTCACACTTCTTATATCTACAACATTTATTTTCATGTCAGCACCAAAGTCTGGCCAAAGGATCGGGCTATAAATAGTACAAGGAGATGCAGAACATGGTATCAACAGCATGCAGAGCGACCTGCACTGGGTGGACAAGATCCCCTCTCCCACCCCAGAGATTCTGACTCAGTGGTGGACCCTGGGCCTGCACAGGTGGTCCTTGAACTAGACTTAGTGAAATACCAGTAATGGAAAAATCATGGGTTTGAACTGGGCGGGGTTGGTGGTGGTGGTGGTGTGTGTCTGTGTGTGTGTGGGGGGGGGGGGGTGGAGTTGGGTAATCTCATTGCTGGTGACCTTGCGAAAGTTACCTAATGCTCAACCTTTGTTTTCTCATGTTTATAAGTAAGTTAATAATACCTACCTTACCTACTTTGTAAGGTTGTTGAAGAATTAAAGAGAATATCTATAAAGAATTAGTGCCATGTATGGCGCATGACATGCACCAAACACATTTTATAAATGTTATGAGAAAGATGGTCTGGTGAACAGGTTGCTGTGCATTCAGATGCTTCCAGTTCTCTTTCAACATTAAAATACAAAACGCAGAAATCCCAGCGGCTGGACAACAGCCTCAGCGTCAGGAAGACACCATCGCCTGATTTAAGTCTCTGTGTCTTTATGAAGGTCTCGGTGTCCTATGAATCATGGTGGAAGACACTGTCCACACTGTCACACTTGGGTAAAAGGACTTCATGATGAATTTCTTCTTGGGTTTAGTTCTAAGGAAAAAAGTTCTCTAAATATCAGTCTTCTTTTTTTCATTTACGGCTACTGGTTTAGAGGCAAAGTTGTTCTGCTGCTGGGGTGACCAGTTGTCCCGGTTTGCTGGGGACTGAGGGGAGAGTCTGGGGTCCCTGAGGTGTGGGACTTTTGGTACTAACCCAGGGGCAGTCCCAGGCAAACTAGATCAACTTGGTCAGTTCACCTCATGCAGTAACTTACTCTGCTTTAGCAACTGAAACAGAATTTATTGCTTCAATAAAACTGTCACAGTTCTGCTTCGTTCCCTGATGTGCCGCATCTGAGTGCTTCTGGAAGTGAGCAGACACACATTTCAAATGCAGTCTGCCTCCCAGGGAGACCTGGGGGCCGCACAGGGCTGCTTCTGCAGGACCCGGCGGGGCGGGGAGAACGGACACACCCTCCGGGAAGACTAAACCCTTGACCTGGGTAAGAAAGCCCCAGACGGTTTACTGATCTTCTCAGCGACAAAACTGAGAGAAGAAGGCTGGGCCAGGGGGCAGCGTGCACAGCTGTGGGCAGAACAGGAGCGTCATGGCTAACTCTCCCGAAATCGCTCTCATTTTTAAGTGTTTTACTTCTTTCTGGCATTTTACTTTATTCAGAAGTTTTTAATTTTCATAACGTCAAGTCTGCCTGTCTTTTTCTATATGTTTTCTGAAGTTGTTGTCTTGCTTAGAAAACCATTCTCCCATCAAGATTATAAGAATGTTCTGCTATTTTTTCTGGGGAAGCAGGCATAGCCAATCGGTAGTGAGTGTTGCTATGTTCCAATAAAACATTTTAATGGACATTACAATTTGAATTTAATATCATTTTCATGTCACAAACTATTATCCTTGTTTTGATAAAACCATGTTTGGCTGGCAGACTATACAAAAGCAGGCCATGGACTGGACGAGGGCCATGTTTGCCAACCTATAAACTATAGGATCAGGTTGTCAGCCTCCCACTCCTATAAATAGCCAAAACCAGGAAAATAAAATCAACTTGTACGTTATTAATGCCTAGACTCAAAACATCAAACTGTAAGGACTCAACACAACTCAAAACGACTCAGACTGTAACTTGAGGATGTAGTATATTATTTCAGCTTAGGCTCAAACCATCCATTTTTTTCTTTGAACTTGGACTTCAAGCTTCATTCCTAAATAGAATTTCTGCAGCTATCATAAATATTAAACACATTGATACCGAGAGAGAAAACCAAGATGGCGGCATAGGTTAACTCCGGAGTTTGCTGCCTCGAACAACCACTTCAAAAATACAACTAAAAGACGGAACGGACATCATACAGAACCACAGGAAGGCTGGCTGAGTGGAAGTTCTACAACTAGGAGGAACCGAGAATCAGAGGAGGCGCGGTGCTGAAGTAAAATACTAAGGTGCGGAGTGCGCGCGGCGAGGGCTGGTGGCTGAGGGCGCGGTTGTCTGTTTCAATCCGGAGGGAGCCTCAGACTCTGAGCTCCAGATCCGGGCGAGTCTCTAGGGACCCAGACTCAAACGGGAGAAGCAGGACTGTCTGGCTACAGTCCCTCCGAGGTTTGCAGCGGTTGCTGGGACAGAGAGGCAGAGCCCCTGGGGACAGACTGAGAGCAGCCATAACTGCTCC